TTTTATGGATGCTTAAATCATATGGATTTGTATGAAAAGACCATTATACCATTGGTTACCGTTTACGCCATTTAACCATATCAATCAACTTTATGACCATTCTATCCTCATTTCTCTTCAATGACATCACCCCTTACACTTCATAATGGCCACATCTCGAAATACATGTAAATTGACCATTTTACCCTTCCATTCAAAAAAAAAGAAAATTACTTAAAAAGGTAAATTTCATACCTTAGGGCATCGGAATAATAACGCGGGGTTTACAGGCTCATCCAACTAGTTGAGAGCTGATGAGGAGAGCAATGGAGTCAATCTCGATCTCGCCTACACCGTAACAGATAATTGGGAGCTCAACTGTCATGGTGGTGTCGACGAAGGTTGAAAAGTCAAAAATGGGGTTGGTCATGGCGAAGAGGATGTAATCAACAGCGAGATGATGCGAAGAAGGAGCAAAAACAACCAACAGACAGCCTGAAATATGAACAGTCGCAACTCGCCAGAATACGTTAGTTTTCCAGTGGGTCTTCTGGCAAATGGTGGGGGAAATGCAATCCAAAAGGTACCAATGGAAAGCTTAGGTGATGGGGAGTTCGGATCAGGTCTTGGGGAGATGAAAGGTTGCAAAAAAGTGAGCGAAGTCACGGCTGGAAGGTGAAGAGGCGCGACAGTGGAAGATAGTGATTTGCGGCGATCTTTCACAGAAAAGGGCGTGTGAGGGTGTTGGAAGGTCGAAAATGTGGAGATCGGTGTTGGGGAAGGTGAATCATCTCTGGAAAAGCTCAAAAATCACTAGAATGTGAAGAGGCATGGCGATGGAGTGCGTAACGTCGCTGAAAAATGGAGAAAACACAGTGGGGGTGATGGTGGAAGGTGAACCGATGTTTGGGGGAGATGAATGGTAGTCGGAGAGTCGTCGGAATCTGGCGAGATGAGCTTGGGTTTGGTGGGAGGCGACTGCCTAGATCTGGAACTATTCATGTTATTTTATACAATGTCTGGCAAATTTTAGATCAATCCCTGCATGAATGAAAACTGACAAAATCAACCCCCAAAAACATGACAATTTACCCCCTGAACAGAATAAATGAGACAAATGCAGACCTAATAAATAAATCACACCCTAATATTGACTCACAATATCTCAAAATCATTTCAAACATGCACAAATTTTAAGGAAAAATTAAAATGTGATTTTCCATTAATAATTTCAAATTTTCTTCAATTGTCTCAATATAACTTCAATTTAATTACACAAAGGGTCTTTTTATCATCAAAATAGAGACATTTTCATGATTCGACTCGGCGTTCAGTCGATGCATAATAGATTCGGGGTTGATCCTAGTCATGTTGGAGTGAGACCAAGCAAAGCAATCTTGGTTCTCCTTTAGAAAATCGACGAGCTTTCTTCGAATATCAGGTGAAAGCTAGGCTCCAACTTGTGTCTTCCAGTTCAGAAAATCTGGGTGAATTTGGACCTCATCCAACTCCTCCATAGTTGGTTGGTCTGGCTTTGCTCTTCCAGCTTGAAGAGTCTGTAATTGCTACATGGTGCCACAATTTGTCTTGAAGGCATTATGGTAACAATCTTTAGAGGCTTTCTGATCTCTTTATCTCTTTGATGCACCATGGTGGGGAACCTGATAGTCTGGTGAAAGTTGAGGGAATAGCCCGCATGCCATGGATCCATAGTCGACCAAGGATCACGTTGTAAGGGGAGGAGGCATCTAATATCATGAAGGTGGTCTGATGGTTGATCCCTTCAGCGTAGACCAGTAGGACAATCTCTCCAATGGTCTACTTTTGTTCAGAGTTGAATCCTATGAGGAGAGTTGGGCGACAATTGATACTAGACTCATCCAATCCCATCACCTTGAATGCTTCAAGGAACATAATGTTTGCTAAGGAGTCGGGCTCTATTAAGATTCTCCTGATAATGATGTTGGCAATCTAGAGGGTAATCACGAGTGCGTCGTGGTAGGGATTCAGAAGTGTTGCTACCTCGTTATCCATGAACTCTATGGTTAGGTTGGTGACTTTTTGTAGTGTCGACCTTGAATGTTGGAACTGTGGGTTAGCTGCGGCTCGGGCATGGCATTTTGCTAATGAGTAGCTTACCCCACTTACTTCTGGAGGGTAATCACGAGTGCGTCATGGTGGGAATCAGAAGTGTTACTACCTTGTTATCCACGAACTCTATGGTCAGGTTGGTGGCTTTTGTAGTGTTGGCCTTGAATGTTGGAACTGTGGGTCAGTTGTGACCGGGGCATGGCGTTTTGCTGATGAGTAGCTTACCCCACTTACTTCTAATCCGTTTGAGATAACACCACACATTCCGTCTGCTTGAGGGGCTTTTAGTGGGGGAGTGATTTGGCAATCTCTGTTTGTCACTGTGCTCTTCCCTTTGTCTGTTAGAAATTCACGAAGATGTCACCTTTTTAGCAGCTTGGCTACCTCAAGGCGAAGTGCAATATAGTCAACAGTATTATTGCTATGGTCTCCAAGAAATTCACACCATTTGGTGGTGTCCCGCTTTGCTCTAAGATGTTTCAATTTGGCCGGCCATCTAACCACGTTTCCCATTTCCTTCATCACAGCTACTACTTTCATCGGCTCGATGTTGAGGTTGTAGTCGGGCAACTTATACTTGGGTGGTATGTTGGACATTGACTCGTTGTGCCGAGTCGAGTCGAGTCGAAAGGCGCTCTAATTGGCATCTATTGTTTCGTACAAAAACTCTTCTTACTAGATAGGGTTTTGCTAGTCTTGTGTCACAGCGTCTATTAGAGCTCCGAGAGCAACGATCATCATAGGCATTTTTCTTGGCTCTATGAACTTCATCTTCCTCCCACCTTATCTCGATCGAAGCACGGGCTAACACATCATCCATGGTGTTGCAGTTAAACTTGGTTAGTTCCTTGTATAACTCTCTGTCTGGGAGGATACCCTCCTTAAAAGCATCAACCGCGGTCTCTTGGTTGCAATAAGGGATTGAACCTTATCACAGTTAAAACATCCCACATAGTCTCGAAAGGGCTCATTGTGGTGCTGCTGGATTCGATAAAGGTCACCGGATAATTTCTCTAGTTTTTTGCTGCTAGCAAATTGCTCCACGAAGGTGTCCATGAGTTGAGCGAATGAAGCAATTGAGTGGTTTGAAGTAATGGAGTGGTTAAGAAGGTTGGTGTACCACTGGAGTGTTGGTCCTACTAGATTGGAGCCAAAGCTCTTACACATGCACACGTAACAGAGATCTCTTGGTATGGCGGCAGCGAACATTCTTTGTTTGTAAGAAGCTATATGGTCATCTGGGTCGGTGGTTCTATCATACAGCTTCATGTTGGGAAAGGTGAATTTGCAGGGCATGTCTGCGAGAGCAATGGCATCTACGAATGGTGACTCGGCATAGCTTTGGGGTTGACTCTTTTTTAGGGGTGCTGGCATGCTTGGGATGTGCTGGATCATTGCTTCCATCTTGGCCAACTGTTTGGTTAGGGTTGTTCAAGGGGTGTGGTTACAGGTGTGTATAGGTTGTTTAGGAATTAGGGAAACACTCTGGGATTGACATGTATCGTCGAGCTGTGTGGGAAGCCTTGCTAGGTTAAGTCAGTCTCTAAGTTCATGGGATTTGTTTGATGGGCAATGGTGGTATTCAGCAGGTGGGGTAAGGTGGCTTGTGTAAGTGTCTCGAAGGCCGAATGGGTGATGGGTGGAATACTGGCTGATCGGTTCGACTCGGCCATTGGTATGGTTGTTGCTAGGGTCGTGGTATGATAGTCGGCGGTAACACCATTATCTGAGGTCGGGAAGAGGTATCTGCGTTGAATGGGATGCCGAGAGGAAAATGCATGATTTTGGCTAAGAGACTAATCTGAAGAATAAAATTGCGTTATCTTATCTCAGAGTGCTTGGTTCTCTGCGTGGATGGCAGCATTCTGAGCCTCCAAAGCCTGATATTTGTTGTTGCTTTCCTCCACCAGTGCGGTGAGAGCCGCAATCTGTGTCGCCAAAGCAGACGCCGGGGTCTCCGTGTTGTTAGTCATGATAGCCGAATGGGGAGGAGGAGCAGCTTCGGCAGGTCGTTTTGAATCGAAAAATTGTCAGGGCCCCACGGTGGGCACCAAATTGTAAACGATAAAATTTACAATTAAACTCAAAAAGACAAGATCTTGTTATGTGAGCCACTGACAATCTTGATGGACTTGCGAAGGGTGTCCTTACCGTTGAAGGGGAGCTTTAGTGACGTAAGGAGGTCGTCAGAATATGCAAAGAGTTTGGAGATAAGAATACTGAAGCTTCGGAGTGATTTTTGAATGCCCAATGAGAGGGTCAGCCCATGTTTATAAAGTGAACCCGAGGGGTCCAAATCCTAATAGGACTTTAAGTCCTACTTAGTAGGTGAGTTCTCTTTTTAGAAAGAGATTAGATTTTCTACCTTTCTCGAGCTTTCTTCTTTGGGTGAGATATGAGATCTTGTTAGAAGAAGAATTTGACTAGGATTCTGATCCTTGTTACAGACTACTTTAGACGAATGGGCCAATCCAGTTCAAGTTAACTCGTGGGATGGCTCAACTCATAGAGTAGACAGTTTACATGGTATTCTAAGCGTGACCTCAATCAGGATTGGATCAAGACCTTGGGTCGTCACATATACTATTGGACCACGTTAAGTCCAGTACGGGTTTGGACCATTCAAACTTAAACTTTGAAAACTGGTCACAAGGTTTTAATATAATAAATACGACGACTTGAAATGTCACTCATCAGAAGCTGATCAACACACTTGTGGTCAGGACCCAGGATTTTAGTCCACCGTAATAAATCCCAATGACTTTCATATCTTTCGCAACTGTTCAAAAGAATAGAATATTTGGCTCATCAAATAGCCCCTTCCCTGAGTTTTTAGTACAGGAATTAACTTTTAATTTCTTGTCCTGCTCTCCTCTCTTTTTAATCCAATGAGAATCACCATCTTTTTAGCGTCCATTAAAAAGAAAATCATGAATGGAAAGCCATCTTTGTTTCTATTTATGTCCTTCAGCGTTTTGTACCAAACATATCTATTCGACCTTATCTCTGCAGATTCTTTGGCAACTGCTCTACCATATGAAGTCCAAACATGGAGCCCTGACAACAAATTTGAATTCAAATCTGCTCATGGGATTAGAGCCTCCACCCAAGACCCAGGCAGACCTGAATTTCCGAAAGATTCTGCTGCCATCTTTCAAAATGAATTCATTCACAAATTTAATGTCTTTCCTGGGTCCAAGATCATTAGACTTCATTTTTATCCAACCTCATATGCAGGCTTAAATATATCTAAAGCATTATTCTCGGTGAGCATTGGCCACTACACTCTTTTAAGAACTTCTGAATCATCTTATCCAACAGATGCTTCAGATATCGAATACGTTACCAAAGAATTCTGCCTTTACGTAAACAGCCATATACTAAATATTACATTCATTCCTGCAAAAATTATTCCAGGTGCCTATGCTTTTGTGAACAAGATTGAAGTTGTTCCAGTGCCTCCAGATCTTTGCATGCGAGATAATGAAACACTTTCCTTCATTGGACATTCTAACAGTTCTTACAGAGGAAAGTCTATGGCTCTAGAGACGATGTATCGGCTGAATGTAGGTGGACCTCCCATCTCTGCAGAGCATGACCATGATATGTTTCGTGCCTGGTCAGGAGACGACATTTACTTTATGAGTTCTAGAATTGATACAGAAACCCTTAGATCAAAAGCTGAAATTAAGTACAGCTCACAGGTCCCGGCTTATATTGCGCCAAAGAAGGTTTACACCTCCGCCAGGACAACGATTCCTAGTGGTTATAGTATTAAAGGAGGCTATAATTTGACCTGGTCATTCCAAGTGGAATCTGGGTTCTATTACCTGCTTAGGCTTCATTTCTGCGAAATCAGCAAAGAAATTACTGAGCAAGATCAAAGGGTTTTTCACATCCACATTAATGATCAGATTGCGCAGGATGGTGCAGATGTAATCAAGTGGAGCGGTGGTGCTGATGTTCCGGTTTTTCGAGACTCTGGTGAATTTATCAGAACAAGGCATGGATAACCTGCTGTTGTCTTTACAAAGTAACACAGAAAACGGTACCTCATGCAATCAAGCAATCCTAAATGGACTAGAGATCTTCAAATTGCCAGATGCTAGCTACAATTTTGCAGGATCCATTTCATTCAGAGCAAGAAGGATGTCTCTCAGCTCGGCTAAGAATCCTCCTAGAATGCTATTAGAAGTTGTCTTTGGTATTGCCACTGTTGTAACCGTATTGTGCATTATTTGTTATGTTCATTTTTTCTACATATCCCGTTGTTCTCTCAGATCTATATGTCGAAGAAAAACATTCAAGCAGCGGCAATCCGATCACTTCCGTCACTTTTCTCTCCCTGAGATAAAGTCAGCCACCCACAACTTTTCTGACAGTTTAGTAATCGGTTCCGGTGGATTTGGTAATGTGTATAAGGGTTACATCGACGGTGGCACCACCACTGTAGCTATAAAACGTGCTAATCCATGTTCAAACCAAGGTCTAAACGAGTTCAAAACTGAAATCTCCATGCTGTCCAACCTCCAACACGGCCACCTTGTTTCTTTGATTGGCTATTGCATGGAAAACAAGGAAATGATTCTAGTTTATGATTATATGGCCCGGGGAACACTACGCCATCAGCTCTACAATACCAAAAAACCTCCACTCAAGTGGAAGAGGAGGCTGAAAATTTGCATTGGCGCAGCTAGAGGATTGCACTACCTTCACACGGGTGCAAAACACTCAATAATTCACCGAGACGTTAAAAGCACCAATATATTGCTAGACAGGAATTGGGTGTCAAAGGTTTCAGATTTTGGTTTGTCAAAAATTGGTCCCAACATGCTCACCCAATCAAACACGCATGTCAGCACCGCTGTGAAGGGTACGTTTGGATACTTGGATCCAGAATATTACCGGCGGCGAAAATTGACTGAGAAATCGGATGTGTACTCATTTGGGGTGGTACTTTTTGAGGTGCTATGTGCTAGACCTGCTGTTTTACCCATAGTTGACATTGAGGAGACAGAGCATGAGAAGGTGAATTTGGGGGAGTGGGCTTTAAGCTGTTATCAATTTGGCACACTGGAAACCATCATTGACCCATATCTGAGGGATAAGATTGAAGCGGGATGTTTCAAGACATTCACAGATATCGCGAAGAAGTGCTTAGCAGATAAAGGATGCGACAGGCCGAATATGGGAGATGTTTTGTGGAATTTGGAGATGGCTTTGCGGCAGCAAGAGGCTGCCGTTGAAGACAGGATTTGTGCAGAGAATAACAACGGGATGACTTCTTATTCTTCTCTTAAGATTGATGGCCATCCATGCATTGGCATGGGTAATTCTGATCAGATACCAGGGGTTGAGTTCTCTGAGATCATGGTCACAATTGGACGTTGAATCATGGCTGCTTTGTATTCATGTCTCAACTCTCAAGTACCCCTAGGTGATTTATTTAGTATACAGCAGTAAGATTTTTGTGTTGTTCGTCGTTATGTTCTTCTCAGTTGTAGAGAAATATCAAATGAAAGTATACAATGATAGAAGACATATTAGGCACGTCAAAATAGAAACTCTATGCAAAATGTACATTTGGTAGTTCATATTTGATCGAGTATTGTTTGCACTTAAAAAGGATTATTTGTATACTAAATCCAAATTTTATCAATTATATTCATTCGTAATGGACTAGAAACTAGAAAGTCTAACATCACCTGGGAAACACCCGGTGGCAGAAACAAGATTCACAACACTGCCAAGTGCCAAGACGTGGTTTCTCTGACTTATTAGCATGTTGATGCTTGCTAAACAAACTGGGAATTGGAAAACATCTCCAGACCGAGTAATTAAATTTTTAAAACTGTAGCTATAACTTTTATATGACTCTAGGTCACTGCAAAGGAGAATCAAAATACAAGCAGCAAAAAACCTCACTTTCTATACAGCTAGCCTCAAGTACTCTACTTTGAGTACGATGGCAGCCTCAAAATATACCCAGGCAAGTGAATCAATAATACAATATATCCCAAAATCAACTGACAATTCAGGAAAAATGCTAAGAGAGGAGCACGCAAGCAATACAAACTACAGATGAGACCTTCATTTCCTTCTCTTCCTGCCTCTACCCAATTGCCCAGATTTGAAAGCATGTTCTTGTTCTTGGAGAAAGGCTCTTGCCTTTCCATACTTCTCATTTCTTTCTTCCTCCAACTTTGCCTTCTCTCTTTCCTTTACCTGAGATAAGAAATAATTGTCTTTACGCAATTCACGAGCCGCACCTTTAGCTTCCCGTTTAACAAGTTTTTTCAACTTTCTTGTCTCAACCCGTTCACGATCTGGATCATAATCTCTGCCCTTAACAAAGCTGTATAACCATGAAATCGTTAGATGATTAATCCCAACCCAATCTAAGAAGCAAAATCCAACATAATTAATTTTAAGGTATTGAGAAAGAGATAAAGTGAGTAGGGAAAGGCTGAATTACTTCTCCTCAAATTTCGGATTTAGTAATTTGATGGGCACTGGCTTCTTCTTCCGCATTTGCAATGGTCGCCGCAACATGCTATGTTCATCAGCCTTTTTCTTAATAAGTAGAGAAACATCTTCAATTTTTTCTTGCAATGTAGACGGCATGTTATCTACTTGTGCTACTTCATGTAACAATATAGCAATTGGCAAGAAGATTTCCGGAAAGGAACTCAATCCTTCATAAACGTCGACAAATCCTCGAAGGGTTTCAATCACAGTCAACAACACACTAGCCCTATATGGAAAATATATTATTTTGTCAGTACATAAGTGGAATATAGAAAGTTATGGAGTATCCTTGCAACTTGTATTAAATCTACATCTAGATCATCATACTCATGCTAGTCAAATAAAACCTAAATGTAGCAAACATCTAGTAAACAAACTTCCGGAAGAAAAGTCAAATGACAGGAATCTTCAATTCTAATGCCCATATAACCACTAAAAGAAGGATCTTTTATGAAGGTTTAACCATCAAAATTTACAATAAACTGGATATTCAAAAAAAAAAGATGGAAGAAGGGCCATAATGTGTGGACAAAGCCTCATATATATTCAAATACATATTATGAAAAATGTACCAAGTATTACTAACCTAAAGTTGTCAGAGCTGAAAAAAGAAGAGTCCTCCGGCATGTCCATTATTATGAGGAAATTCATAGGACTAACATCATCTACACAATCCCTTATACACAGCAGGGGCCTGAGAGCTTTTAGATCCATAAGATGATAAAACTGCCACGAAAAGAGAGGAAAACAGTTATTTCAATCATATATATAGAAGCGTGACAAGATGTATGATAGTATTATAAATTAGTCATATACCTCAGACTCCTGATGTGATGTTAGTTTTCTGTCAGTAGCTGCCATCAGCACAGTTCGGAGAAATATTATCACCTCCGGGCAGAACTTCTTAGATTGTCTACTAACCTGCAATATTGTTTATCATATAAAACCCAGCAAGAAAAATTCTTGATGAAAAAGAGTACTAAGAAATATGTCCAATAAGAATGGTATCAATTGAATATGTTAAATCAAATATTTAAAAGAGAAAATCAAAACTAAGGTAACTGCTGCTAATATCAATGGCAACCATTGAACATCAGAACTGCAGCATGCTTGGAAGTGACAAAGGTACATAAACAGATATAGCACTGCGATAAGCAGGGGCGTGATAACAAGTCCTAAAAAACTAATCGGCATGTGATAATGGCCAAAGAAGCACTCGAGCACCTTCCATCAGCAACCACAGGTTAAAACATGCAAGTGAAGTGTATGGATAGCTGATGGAACAGACCATGCTCCTGCAATTCGTTAAAGCCCTTTGCATTTAATCTTACTATCTAATGATAAAAAAAAAAGTGTATTAGAGGGCATACATACATTGAGAATCATGGAACATAAGAACGAACCCACAGCGATATCCCGGCCTGACACAATAGGACAACGCATGAGATATTCACACATCAATAATATTGCTGGAGTCATTACAACATGACGGAAGTCAGAACATGGGAAAATCATGGACCACAGCCTCAAAAGAATTAATGTTTTCAAAGAAGGACAGCAGCTATTTTCTGCAGATAGTAAATATAATTGGTTAGAAGCCAAAATAAGACCAAGTTGGCGTAATATAATTAATAGGAGTGACATTCCTCAGTTATTTTATCACAAACCTGGGTTTTTGATAGCATCACAAAATTGTGTTCGAGTCCGTAAGATTCGCTGACGAGCACATATTGCAGCAAAGTATGGGATTTCTACACTCATCTCCATCAGTGGCTTGACCAGCAAATTTAGCAACTCGAAATTGAGGGCTTTTTTGTTTGGCAATACAGCAAAGTACTGCAATAGCACACCATAAAATACCTGGAAATGGGCAAATATGTTACTTAAAGTTTAGTCATAATGACAGAAGGCAAAAGCAGATATTCTGACGGCATCATATCAGAACCCTCATGATATAAGTACCAGGAAAAAAAAAAAACTCATAGTATGCAAGAATAATATTCAGCTCTCTACTGCATGGAGGAAAAATTTACATATTTCTCAATAATCCATTGCTTGTTATCCAACATCCCAGACCAATTTCAAGTCACTGACTACCTTCTTAAGTTTTTGAGCACTCAAAATGGTAAAGCATGTATTTCAAAGATATAATTAAACCACTACGACAAAACCATATGGATGACATTTACTGGTCTTGATGTGCATCCCTTGCTGTGATAATTTAACTGATTATTTAAAAAATAAAAAACAAAATCATATAGATTTCATGACTACAACCTTAATCATGTACGTACCATATCATCTATCTTAATGGACCAGCAATGGGTTAATGGGTTTTCTGCTCTATGAACTTGAAAACCAACTATAAGAAACCAGGGCATTAAGTTTAAGAAATTCACCCAAGTCCACTCACAGCTAAATAGGAAGAAACATGAACACAAATAAGATAACGCACACACATGCACACACAAAGGGAGAGGGGGAGAGAGAGCACACAGAAAGCTGCAAAAACTTGTATACCTGCATTTTCTTCCGATTTTCTGCAGCCAATTTAATTGCATTGCTTGCCTGAATTCGATTGATAACCAAAATCTTGTCAGCATTAGAACAATTATCCAGTAATGCAAAAAATTCATCCAAGCTCTTTGGAGCTTCAATTATATAAGGAATATCTGGTTGACCTGAAAGTTTAGTATGATTCACTTTCATTTTCTTTATATCTAGAGATTCCTTATCACTTTTCCTAATTTCCCCATGAGCGTTGCCCCTCGACTTTTTCTTGCCTCTTGGCTCTATCTCTTCCTCATCATCATCACTGTCATCATTTTCCTCATCTAACTCTAGTTCTTCCTCTTCTTCCTCCTCCAAATCTCTTTCAAGATCATCATCATCACTTTGTTCCCAGTCCTTCAAAGTTAGAGTCTTTTCACTTGCATCACTATCTTCATTGAATCCTTCATCAACACCATCAGACTCAGCATCATCTGAATCCTCAGAGGAATCATCATCTTCAATCTCGGTCGTATCCTTTCTTTCAAGAACCTCATCTACCCAGCCCCTTTTAGCCTTAGGCTCTTCAAGCGAGAAAGAATCACCAAGATCATCCCCGGACATTGATTTAGGCCTCTGGGCAGACAGTTTCTCATCAGCTTCATTGTCTTCATCACTAGTGTCATCAGTTGCAAGCATCCTCTTCCGACGCTCTTCCTGAAATTGTGAATTCACTAAGTTATGGAAAAGTAATTTAGTAAAAATTGAGATAATTTTTTTCAATTTTCAAAATACTAAAATTTCATATCTCTGTAAAGACAAAAGAATCCTAATACTTAATATTAATCACAACATGTTAACTAGAATATTTCGGTTCATTCTTCAAATAAAACATATTACCATTAAACCAAGCAGTGAATGTTTAAAGATAATTGATGAACAAGTTATATTGTTTTAAACATGATGGTAGATAAAAGATGATTAAAAACAAAAGTAATTCACAATCTTAAAATCTAGCCACATGTACATAATGAACAAGTTATTCTGCTTTCTGCAATTTATAGGACCACTAACATGGTTAAGCATCTTTGTATGTTGTTAACATTTAAAGAAATGAAAAGGTTGCTGGAAAAGTACATTTTGTGCCTTCCAGCCAACATCATGCATGGAGGCACTGCACACTTCAAATAATTTTTAATGCATTGTACCTATTCTTTCACCTCTCACATATCACTCTCCTCTATTACCTCTGACTTCGCCACTTTTTTCTTTTCTCTCTTTACTACCCATCAGCACCTCATCTTGCTCATGCATACATCTTCAGTTCTTCTCATTCTCTTTCTTTTTTAATTTCTCATTTTACTATCTTTCATTTCCAAATAAATGTCCTTTAAATAATTCTCACAATCTTAACATTTTGCTGCATAACTAACAGAGTGGGATTTAAAACCACCAGGGATTTAATAAATTTTGAAGATGGCTATGATTGACATTAATGAAAGATTTTTTCTCCGATATAAGATCTAGAAACTTAGGAAATTAAAGCATCCATAATTGTCATCTTATCAAAAAGCCAACCTAACAGCTATTTAACTATTTGAATTTCTAATTTTTGAAACCTCTACTTAATTAGTTGTTTAATCTTCTCTAAGATGGCTTTCAAAAGTATTGCATCGTGCTAGATCTTCACTTTAAGGGTTGTGGAGCTAGTTAATGTTATGACACTGGACATGAAAATGATTGTAGTCATTTGTATAAAAACATGGTTGAACTAATTTTGATAGCACAGACATGCTCATATCACAGAAAGCCAGCACATCAACCCAAAGACTAATCATATACTTGTTGAAGAAAACAAAGGAAACATTGCTTGTAAAGTTTTTTTATCTCTATCTTCGTTTTTCTAAGTTGATATGCTGATATTAGAAAACCTTTGTAAACTTATACAATGCGCTAAAACACAACTGGCAACCAAGCAATGCTATATGTAACTTACATGATCTAGGTCCATATCACTTGGAATCAGTGGAGATGAGGGTCTAGTCCAATTGTTTGGCAATCACAAGCTTACATAGATTCCACTTTGCTTGAAGTTGCAGGCTACTTATTTCAAATTTAATATTTCACCATCAAGAATTAAGATTATTTTTCAATACTGTAAACTTCTATAATAGCATACTTTGCATATCTAATATTAATTGGAGAAGGAGGTGCAATTGATCTACCAGGGAACCAAAAATTAAGAATGAAAGAGTATAAACAATGGGCAAGAATGCAAGTAAGATCAACATGCAAGAATGAGTGTGCACATACAGTTGAGAGCCATGCAACTTACCTCCAATCGCTCCAGTCGTTCTCTCTCCTCTTGGGCAATTTCTTCATCTGTCTTTGTCCTGTCTGAAGGTCGTGCACGCATGTCCAATGCCATCTCTTTCACAAGTTTGTCATAAGAATCAGGTTGTTCCTGCCAAAAACAGCAAACAGATATCAAGAGCAAAAGCTACAGCTTTATATCAGAAAAAAAGAAAGCTTTAGGACCTGGGTAACAAGGGTACAAAACACTTCCTTCTCTTTTCAATTTCAGGATGTATGCATAAAGGTCTTACGATGATAGTTCAACAATCAGAAAAGTACATGACATGCCAAGGAGATTTAGAAAGGAACAACATCCAGAGCATTGGAAGATTGGAAATAAAATTAGCAGCAAATTCAGTAATTAGTAAATAAAATTACAACATTCAGAATGTTTGAATAATCTAGAACCGTCAAAAGTATACCTGATTTAACGTGTCTATTTTTTGACCATCCAACTTCGCATGTTCATTAGGAATGTCCTTACTGACCAGAGCCTTCAAAGCATTCATCTTACTAGGTTCAGTCATTGACAATAGCACTTGAGATTGCACTAAAGACGAGAAATTTTTATCCAATTCTTCCATCAACTGTTCATTTTCTTCCTTATGTTTTGCTTTTTGTGCCTGTTACGAAGAAAAAGAGAAATAAACAACAAAAGATCTACAGAAGATCAAGAACCAATAAGCCAGAATTCATAACATAAATTGAATCACCACCTTGAAATATTTGCTCTTTAAAATAACCTCCTCCATGATTTCCTTCTTGCTTTTATGCTTCTGCAACAAAAATATCATCTCTTTGTATCAATGTCAAGGTTCATATATCACCCAATTAAAAAATTGAGAGAAAGAAGCAAGATTGAAAAATGATCTTATAAGTGTATAAATGAAGCAGATAGATATAAAAATTAAAAGAGGAAAAAAAAACTTACATTTCCTCTCCTTCCATTAATCCCTTTCGACTGGTCATGCGTATTATTATGAGAATTAAGTTGCTTTAAGACTTTGAACTCTCTGAAAAAAAAAAAAAAAAGAGAGAGATAATCAATACTATTGATCAAATCTCAAGTTGACTGGAATCAAATGTAACAATTGGCAATCACAGAAACTAACAATACAATGTTGATTGCTAAAATAAAAGGGCAACCAAGTAATCAAGGAAAAAAATTATGACACTAAAGCCACTGACAATTAAGCTGTTAAAAATTTTATAACATCTACAGAAAAATAGCGTCAGTATATCAACTAAACAAACTCACCACATGTGATCACTATTTGAATTTAGTAAAATGAAGCAAACGAAGAAAGAAAGTTAAAGACATGTTAGAAAGATATAGAGGGTTTCAGATAAACATGTGAACTATTATTTTTATGATAGTGTCATAGTGCAATCTAATTATCACATTGCTACACTTCCAACACGATAGTCCAAAAATTCAAAACAACAGAACACAGCACTAGATATACACGAAAACATTAAGACAAAATAAAGCAATATAAAGCTAATTGAGGAATTATGGAACCATGGTCTGACAACACACAAGCACCAAGGAAGATCAGAGCTCATAACGTTCAGCTCCCTCTTTTCACAAATATTTCTCGCTAATTAACTGACATCCTTCTCAAAATGGCGACTCAATACAGTCTCCATGAAGAGTATATAGATATCCTAAAACTGAAACTAGAAACAAAATCATTTAACCTAACGCCGCACGCTTCATTTAAACAAAAGCATAGTCTTAACAAAATAAAGCAAAACATACTCTTGTTTTCACCATCACCATCATCATCGTTATCATCATCAGATATCATTTCATCCTCAAAATCATCTCTTTCTGAAAATGGCCCAAACCCAGAAATTTCAAGCTCATCCTCTTCTTCATCAGATAAGTTGTACTTGTTCTTCTTGCTCAATTTCAACTATCAAATACAAAATAAAAAAAAAACTTCTCTGCAAAGGTTTCTACACTCCAAAATAAGATTATACACGCTTAGTTACAAACCTGACGCTGGCGCTGAGACCGCATAATGGCCTTATCAAACTCTCCCAACTCATCGTTTCGCTCACCAATTCGTTTATCCACAAACACGGATGACTTGCCACTCTGTTCGTACTCTTTGAGCAACGTTTGTCCCTTCTGGATGGCAAGAGACCGAAGAGACCGATACGAACCTCTTCGCCCTTTCGCTCTTACCAAGGATGTCGAATTTGCGTCGAGACCAATGGTTTCAAATGGATTTTGGCGTTCGATGCTTTGTTCTTCATGGCCACTGTTTTTGGGCCGGCATTCTTCTTCTTTTTCGACTTCTTATTGCTGGTTTTGGTGTCCGTTTTCGCCATGGCTGCCGTTAGAGGAAGCAGAAGGGTTTAGGGTTTTGACTGTTGAGCAGAGTTTGTTATGATACGATAGAAAATTTAGCTGGCCGGCCCCACCCTTTCGATTTAAAAATGGCCTTGAAGTTTTTCATTATTTTTTAATTTAGAGAAGCTAACGTGCATAGTTAGGATCCATTAAACATGTAAAATGGGTTAAAATAAAAAGATTAAAACATATAAACAAAATTAATTAATAAAAGTATTAATTTGAAATTTGAAAAAGAGCTCCCCCATTTAAATCGCTATCGAAACCAATTCACAAAAAATCGATATCTTCATCCCAAAACGCATTCTGCGCAATTTCTGGTGATAACAGTCTACATTCTGACATTTTCACACCCAAATTCAATCATAAGCTTCTTCCTTTCTTAAAATCATGGCTGACATTCACAATGAGGAGGAAAACCCAACGCCTCTTCGAATCGTAGAGTCCGGCTATGCAAGCATTCAATGGCTGCTCCGGTGATCCTCCGATCAGTGAGGTGTTCCAGCAGCGAGACGACGGCGGCACAACAAGAGAAGAATAGGAGCAAAACGGTTCTGAGAGGAAGAGGAGGCCAGCAAAATTCAGGCCAAGAGAGGAGTCCGGCGAGAGTTCAGACGAGGAGGAGGAGGTCGCCAAGAGGAGGAGCCGCGAAGAAAAGGTATTTGTACTTGCCGAGATCTAAGATCGTAAGCGATCCTTTGTATCGCTTAAACGATTGATGGCTTTTCTCTTGGTCGCTTAAACCATTTAGATTGCTTAAGAGTAAAAGCTATGAATCGCTTAAGCGATCTTAGATCTGGCAGTGTTATTCTGCCTCATACAAGATCTCTTAAGCGATCTGTAATCGCTTAAGCGATCTCTTCCGAGGCAGAACCAATCTGCCCAGATCTATATCGCTTAGCGTTTCAGATCGCTTAGAAAAGTGTCGAATCGCTTAAGCGATCTTAGATCTGGGCAAATGTTGATTATGCCTTAGAAGAGATCACTTAAGCGATTACATATCGCTTAAGCGACCAGAGTAAAATCGCGAATCGCTTAAGCAATCTTCTATATCCTTAAGCGATTCGTCGCTTTTACTCTTAACGATCTGAAATCTCTTAAGCAATTTCAGATCGCTTAAGAGATCTTGTAGAGGCAGAATCATCTGCCCATCGCTTAAGCGATTCTTCCGGAACGTATTTTGTTTGTATTTGATTTGGTTTAATTTTTTTGCTGATATTTTGTTTATATCGATTGTGCAATTTTCCGGAGCGTAAATTATAGAGAGTACGGATTGGAGGTTGTAAGCGATACGGTACCGTACTTCCTTGTGAGGGTACAGTGAGCCAAGTTGGATGTTTTAACGAGAATAACAGGGATTTTAGGGACAGTGAGGAATGGTGAAGAGATTCAAAGAAACTTGTTTGCTCATTTTTGGGATGTGGACACAAAATGGAAAAAGACATTCTGGGGGTCGGAGTGCATTTAGTTGCTGCACTCAATAAAAGCAACAAAAAGCACGAATGTGGTTCATGGTGGATGGAAGCCATATGTTTCAGGATGATGGAATATCATTGGGACTGGCTAAGAGTGGGGAATTGCCAGGTGAGGTTGAGGAAAAAAAGAAACGAACAGTACAGTATGAAACATATAAAGTGTGAATGTTTATGTCTATGCTAAACATATGGTTTACGATTGGTTCAATGGACTATAACCGTTATTATATTTATATTAAACATATGTTATTTTACGTCAGTATGAAACATATAAAGTGTAAATGTTTACATCTATGCTAAACATATAGGGTTTCGATTCTTCTTTGTTCAGAACATAAAGGGTGCGTTTGGTTGAATATTCCATAATATTATAATCTTTCCCATAATATTCTTTTGTTTATTATTTAGCAAATTTGTATTTTTTTTAAATAAATTTTAGACCCATTAACTGAATTAATTCATTAATACCGCCTGAAAAAGTTTTAAAAGTAACAAAAAACACCCACCCACCAAACTTCCCAGATTCTGCACTATCGCAGTTACAACGACCAAAAATGGCCGTAATTCATAGATGTTGCCTTTTTCGTCCATCGATGGCCAGATCTAGCTGTGATCTGCCTTTTTCGGTCCATCCGTGGTCGATCTGGCCGAAAGGCCATATCGATCCCATCAGCCTGATCCGACGCTATGCGTCGTAACCCCCTTTCCCGGTAGGATTCCGACGTGGGGTGGCTGGAATCTGAGAAGTTGGGTAGGTGGGGTGTATTTGTCAAATTTTCAAATCTTTCGTTGGTCGATTAAGCGATCGTAATAAAGGAACTTCGTTTACACAGGGTTGCTTAAGCGATCGTAGATATGCTTAACGATTCTTTTTCTTTTTCACTTTGTCGTTAAGTGATCATGTGATTGGCAGAATCAAATCTGCCCAGTGCATGATTGCTTAAGCGATCCGAGATATCGCTTAAGCGATTTCTTCTTTTTGTTTTGGTCGATTAACGATCGTGGATCGCTTAAGCTCTGATATACACTTAAGCGTTCCTATCTTTTTGTCTTGGTCGATTAAACGATCCGTGATATCGCTTAAGCGATCCTGTTTGAAAAACCCTTGTCGCTTAGCAATCATGGGCAATATATACTTTTCCTGCTTTTCTCCTGATTTTGACAACTAAATTACCAACACTATTAATTCCATACTTTCCTCAATTTGACAACCTAATTCCAAACTAAAATCAACAACAAATTATTAGGCCATGTAACAGAAATATAAGAATGATTATTAAAGTTAACAATAAAATTTATAACATCAATAATTGAAAACAATAACTCATCAACGGTTGGCCTTGGCAACTCCCTGAATTTCATCCTTCTTCGAACCTATTTTCTGAATCTGCATGTGATTGCTTTTGCAACTGCTTCTCTTTGGCCATTTGCTTGCAAATTGAGCACTTATTCATCTTCCGGGAACCTCAAGGCTGATGGAATACGCTTAACTCTTTTTCTCCCTTTGCTGTCTTCTTGAATGGTGGGTGGATGATAGTTAGCCATCTCTAGCGGCACTACCCATTGCTCTTCTGGAGGCACCGGATATTCATTTCTGATAGCAGCATGTAGTGATCTGTCATAGGAGGGGAGCAAAGTTCCATGTAATTCTTGAACCAAAATCCGGCTTCCGTTGGTGTTTCAGTGCTGCTAGTGCATGAGGACAAGATAACGTTGAATGTCAAACACTTTACAGCTGCAAGTTTTTCTAATAAGGCTACTAGAGCATCCGGACCATAGCTCATAGTGAACTCTTGAGCATTAAGAGGATAGCAAACAGTGCATTTGACAGTTCCATACGTTCTCGCAATTTTTTCAGCTGACGGAACAAGGGTTGTAGTAAAATTATCTGACTCCGTACGATGCTCATGGAACCACCCGACAGTGTCCTTTGATTGCATCAAAAAGTGAACTATTGGAACTCTCTTTCTATTAACAACTTCGAATTTATGGACTCGGCTATGTTTTGGTCATGACATCAACCTTCTTCTAGGAAAGTAAGCTCTCTCCATCACTCGAAACCAACATCATGCTCAAGATACTTAGCAACTCTATCATCCTTGATTCGGATTTGCTGGAAGTGCTTCTCGAACGCATCAACCTGATAAGTTTTTACTGCCATGTAGTATGTCTGAAGGAGGCCAGCACACTTAAACTTTGTTTTATGTTCTCACCAAGGTGCCTCATACAGAATCTGTGATGTGCTTGACGTAAATAGTGCAATCCCCTTCTTTATAGAGTTGCCTATAGGATATATGCACAACTCGTCAGTGTCAGGCACTATCGTACGTAACTGCTGAAAAAACCAAGTTCACGACTCATTCTCATAGTCAACCACACACCATGCAACAGGATATGTTGATTTCACTGTCTTAGCAGTGGCCACCAATAATGTACCTCCATACTTTCCCGTTAGAAAGCACCATGAACAGTCAACACCTTTCTCATGTTTACAAAACCCCTTATAGCAAAACCGTAAGCAACAAAAATTTTAAACATCATATTCCTATCCCCTTCAAACCGTCTTGCTACCTTGGTTTGTCAACTCAAGCATATAACGATACGCTTCTAATACTGCGTACCCGTGCTCCGGCGTGCCCCTCACAAAATCTGTGCATGTTGTCTCCCTTTCCAGCATTTCCAGTACTAACACACATCCCAACTCTGTGCGCAACAGTCTCTGAATGTCTTTGAGGAACCTTTCCCTTCAACAAACCACTTTTGACAATTGTCCAATAACATCACGGACGCTTGTCGATGCTCACCTGAAATATGTCCCAAACCACAGTGTCTCACGGGTATATGGTCTAAGAATAAATTTTTTCGACTCCGCCAACCTTCTACAATAATCCTCACTTGCACTTTCGGTCCAACATGCAACCGTCACAGCTAATGAATTTGACTTTTTGGTGATGAACTCAAATTACCTCACGGCAACAAGTTTTAGCTTGCTCACCACTTCCTCTTTGTTGTCAATAAATCCCTATGTGCAACTCCGATCCATCCGTAAAAACATGAGCTGATCACTACTACCTCCAATTGCCCTCTCTGAACCCTATAAACGACCATGGTGTTCTCTTCCTCACAATCTACGCCTTCTGCATAATCTGTATTTAAAGGAATCTCTACATCTTGGGAACATCTACGGGGTCCTCCTCCTCACATTTTCATTCTACCCCCCATCACCAACCTCTTCTACAGTCTCCTCCTCACCATCCAATTCACCGTCTACTCTTGATTTTTCAACTAAACAATCAATGGCCTCATAGTTCAATTAAAACCAGGCAAATCTCCGCCTACTTCCTCGTTTCCCTTCCTTTGAACCAACTTCGAATGGTTTTTCTAAAGAGAAACCCTTAAAATCGGCCTCGAACCTTATCAGCCACCAATCATATATAACTTCACATTTTCATCCGACTTTAATATAGCAAGAGGTATCTTTAATTTCAGGAACTCTGCTAAAAACTACTTCACAACTATATCACTACGCGGGAACTCAAATTACCTCTTCTAATTATTTCATCAATCAACTCATCAAAACTAACCTCTGTACTCACAGCAATTGGTATAACTTTTTTGCTCTTCCCATCCACTCCCACTACGTTCTTCCTCCACCCACTCACCAAATATTCAACACCCAAAACAACTTGTCCCATGTGTAATAATAGCCAACTACCTGTAATGCAAGAAAAAAAAAATGCTTAAATGCTTTACTAAGGGTTCAATATTTTAAAAAGAATCTGCACAGTCGCTTATATGGTCTGTTGTATCGCTAAGATCATGGTTATTATACTGGATTGCTTAGGCGATACACTTGATCGCTTAAGCGATCTTATCATTTACTGATCGCTTAAGCGATCTCTCCTATACACCAGACTTTTACCAGATCGCTTAAGCGATCTATCTGCTGCATACCAAACCTACCATATATATTTCAGTCAGCTCACCTACAATCGATTCCATCATACCCAAACACATACCCAAACAAATTTTCAACAAATTTCACTCCTTCAACTGCATTACATCAACCACACCCAACAACCTAAACAACGAAATCAAAATCATAACCCAAACCCCATCCATTATTAAATCTTGTAAATCTAAATATAAATGTAAAAAGGAGATACAAATACTTAGACAATGTCGGAGGAGGAGGAGGGGGACTTTTGCGGAGAAGATGTAATGGTGGAGGAAGAAGAAAGTGTTAATGGCGGAGGAACAAAGATATAGAGGATGAGGAAGAAAGAACTAGACAAGGAGGAAGAAGGAGAAGATCAGAGGAAGAAGAAGATGTAGACGAAGCTAAGAAAGAGAAGAAGATGTAGAGGTAGAGATGCGTTATGGCGGGAAGGTGTTGGGTTGTTTGCAACAATTTCGGGTTTGTGGGAATATAGTATAATTTTGAAAAGATTACATAATACTTCATTAATCCTAATTAGAACTAATTACCCTTAATCATAATATGGCTATTTAGTTAACACTTTAAAACTTATAGCCTTTTAATTATGAAAACTTGAGATGACCTTTTAATAAACTGCCCCATGATATGACTCGGTTGATGCCTTGATGGTAATGAAACCGGGTTGATTGGATACGGGTCAAAATACCCGTTCTTATTTTGATTATTAGCAGAAGAATAGTTTTGAATGTCCCCATGAATTTATCTAAACAACCCCTTAAACAAAATTTGCAAATTTTGTCTTTGTTTCGCCCACTAAGGCACATAACGAGTGCAGATTCTTGTTGAGTTGAACTAAAAGGGAAGAAATTTATTAGAAAAAAAAAAAAAAAAAAAAGATATACTGCTTCAAATTTCTAATTTTGCTAAAGATAATATTATAGTAAAAATTACACAGAAGGAAAAAATAAAAAAAATACAAATTTGATTTTACGTATCTACAGAACATACATAAATTGACCCATCCCACTCCCTATTAGTAAAAATTTATTAATTATTTACTATAATTAATAAAAACTTTAGAAATCAGTATATCTTACGGCCATTCTAAAAAAACTTTAGAAATCAGTTGACCCCCCCTAAAGTTTTGAAATTTTTTTACTAGTTTTACAAATTTGTCCCTAAACGAAAAATAAATTATAGAAAAACTTCAATATATAAGTAATTCCAAAGATAAAAGAGAAATGGAATTAGAAAGTGGATGTGGAAAATTGACCCATCCCATTTCCTATTAATAAAAATATATTTTATATATATATGCTAATTACAAAATAATGCATAAACAAATATATATATTTTAAACGAAAGAACACTCTTATAAATAAGTAATTCCAAAGATAAAGATATAAAAATTATATTCATTGGTTGTCGTATACAAACAGAAAATGACGGTTACCCTAAAGCTATTGGAAAACTATATCCCTGCGTTGACGTAAACAATCTCCAATAATCCAACTTTGCGTCCAAAATCATTGGGACACGCTGGTTAAAGAAAATTGTTGAAGCTAACTATGAATACAAATAAGAATAAGTTTATCCTTACAAAAAAAACCTATAAAGAAGTTTATAAAATAAAAAAAAAAACAAAAAAAAAAACAGAAAAAGAAAAAGAGAGAAAGAAATGATGAAGACGAAGGATGAAGGATGAAAGTTGTATTTATATACCTTCTTTGTAGGCTTCTTTAGAAGATTAACACTGCTATACAAATAAATAATCATAATAATGGTCATATCTTGACACAAGTGGCATTGGATTTGGTACAATGACATATCTATATATACCAACACATATTACTTCCAGGTTGCGTGCAATCTCTGACATGAAAGACGTCGGCGGGCAAATTCTTCGACATCTTGGATAATAATTTTCTGACATAATTTGTGTCGGAAGAAAGTCATCATTCGATTTTTTGTTTTTGTTTTAAAGGAGTCAGGAATTACTTATGGAGTATAAATAATGAAACACTTCAAATATTTGTAGTCGGTTTAATGTAACCAAAGGTGTAGACTCTAGAGCATATGGAGTTCCCAGTTCCAGGTGGATCAAGTTGTCTCCCACCTTTGCTCAAAGCCAATACTCCTATAGATTATATTTGGAGAAGCATGTGTGGCTCATTCATCCGCCGTAACATCTGTAAAAAGAGGCACCCACACCCACCCCAAAGGGGTCAAGGGACCTTATTGTCTCCCTCAAATCATAATACCCAATACCCCAAAACAATGACACATGAACTCCACTTTTTTCATTCACACCCCAAGCACTTTCCATTTTTCCACTTTACTTAATCTTTCATTAATTTACAAACAATACAGAAACACATTCACAAATTAATTCTCTGTGCTAAGATTAGACATGATCACAATAACTCATTAATTAATAATAAATTAAAAAACCCATGATGTCAATGAATATTTAAGCCAAGAGCCAGAAATCTTTGTGACGTTTAGTGGTGATCAAGTAACCTCCCTGTTTTTTGCCTTTTCTCCTCACAGCAACTGCCATGCAAGCTGCATTTTGGATACAATATTCAACAACGCCAACAGGGACTCGATTACCTGCCCACATCATAATGAGACGCCAGGTGGTGGAGCGTTTCTTCTGCCCAAGAACAAGAAGAGACACGCCTTGTTTTTTCGCTTCTTCTAATATTGCTGGACCTTTCTCCTTCCCTTCCACCACTGCAACCTCAAGTTGAACCTGTCATTTTATTCCCAATCAACATTCATATTTTAGTTATATGTCATTAAGTTATATAATATTTATGGTCGGAAAGTTGTCTGATACCCACATCAGGTCTTTTCTGCTGACACATATTTTTCAAGTTATGAACAAGTTGATAAGCCCTTGGAGCTGATCTCTCCATTTTCTTGGATGATTCTCCACCTGCGGCTGCATGTGCAAACAGTTATATCTAACAATCAAATTCATAAAAAGTTAATCAAAGAGAGGAAAATATATCTTACTTGAATCTTGGTTAGAAGGCTTGATGACATAAAGAAGAATAACTTTATCGTGACTCTGAACTGTGTGAGTTAATGACCATTGTATAGCTCCCTTAGCTTCACTGCTCGAATCAACCACGATCATGATTTTCCTACCATTTACCAAACCGGGTTTCACTCCATCACTACTACACTTCTCTTCTCCATTAACAATGCCAGAATTCTCACATTTTACATCGCTTTTAGCAGTAGGCTTGGATTGTATAGGTGGCGACCGGACTCTAACCAGAGGCCTAATTCTGTTTAGACAGAAATTTGGCAACCTTGTGCCTCTCTTGCCCATCTCTCTTGATGAAATGATCACTACAGGAGACCGATGACACCAATTATTATTATAAGGAGGAAGAAATATTGATGAGGAATAAAAGAAATGAAGAGTTAGTTAGGAAGCAAGAGCCCAAAGTTCAAGATGTTGGTGAACTGGGTCCTGGTCGTGGGAGGGGCTTGCTTGTTTTTGCTTTGCTTTTTCTTCTTTATCTTTCTTTTGTCGTTTAATCATGTAACTTGTTTGGGTTTCTTTTATTTTCTTCTCTGGGTGGGGGCTATTCCTGAACGTGCTTGTCATGAAGCCGTAGGGCCAACCCTCTTGGACCAGCCGCTCAAAACTTGCCTATTTGGCAGGTTAGTATAATCAAATTTAATTTAATAATGTTCACTTAACTTTCTGATTCCAATTAGATTAATGCAACCCACTATCTCATGACTTAAGAGAGTTGCTACTATCTCTTTCTTTCTTTTTTATCTAATTGTTTTTTCTTTCTTCTCCCCGTCGTCAAAAAAGGTAAATATACAAGGAACGTTGAAAAAACCATCACTATGTAGGCTAATGGTAAAAGAGTAAAAAGAGGTTTCATAGGCTCCGTTTGGTAGATAATTTTTGAGTATTCTATTCCCTATTCTATCCATAATACACATTGATTCTCTTATTCTTAAAATATTATTCTATATTATCTAATTTCTTTTAAACCCCCTATATTTGTTAATTTAACTAAACATTCAAAAAAAAAGTTTTAAAATTTGACAAAAACACCCAAGCAACCCATGTTTACCAGATTTCGGCCACCACCGTCGGAAGCTGGCCAGAATCTGGTATAATAGCGCACTACCGGCTGAATTTAGCAGGTAGTGTACCGATATAGCCTTTTCCGACCAGATCCACAGTGGATCTGGCCAGAAAAGGGCAGATTTACGGCCAAAGATATGATCGTTGTTTGGTCGTAGCCAGTCGTCAACGAACGGCCAAGATATGGCCATCGTTGACCATCAACTACGGCCGTATCTTTGGCCGTCGTTGACGACCAAATGCGGCCAAATCTAGCCATTAATGGCCAGATCTAACCGTGGATCTGGAATTTTCCAACCATATCCTCTGTAGATCTGACCGAAAAATATCATATCGGCTCACGAATGGCCAGATCCAGCCGGTCGTGCGTCGATACAACGACTCCGGCCACCCTCCGATAGTGTTAGCCGGCTGTCCGTATTTAATGGGTGAGTTGGAAGTGTTTTTGTTAATTTTTAATATTTTATTATAGGGGCATTTAGTAAATAAACAAACATAGGGGGATATTTTTGTTTATTTCCAAATCCTACATCGTAATACCTACCAAATTTTACTTTTTTCAAAATATTATTCTAAAAAGTATCAAAATAATGAATCAAACGGACCCATAAACTCTTAAATTCGAATCTTCTCAGACACTAATAGAGGTGACCATTAGAGATTTTACTCAGCTAATAGTTATAGGACTTCGAGAATTAGTTGAAGTACATGCAAACTGGTCTGAACACTCTTGGTAATAAAAAAAAAAAAAAATTATTAAAAAGGAGAAACGAGATGGAATGGTGTAATTTGGGTAAGGTAATTGGAAATAATTGTGGCAAAGATATTCAACTTCTTGTATACTTACTGCCGACACCAATTTGGGCAATGATAAGCATAAGATTGAGATTAGCATTAGCATTGTAAAGGTTAAAATTAAGTCAATGTCATGATAGGGTGTATCAAGCGTAGTTCAGACGCCACTTCATCATCATTGTGCTTTAGAAAATATGAGAATAAGAAATAAGTTTTCCGATGAATCATTCATAAATAAGATTTAATTAGGACATTAGGTGCAGCATTCATTTTTCATAACATTATTAAAAGGACAAAAGAAAGTCAACTTCATGATGCAAATTAATTACCTTGATTTAAGATAAGTTAATTAACCATGTAAGAAAATAAAACGAACTGACTTTTCAAAATTAATTACACCAAATCATGCATTACTTTATTATTAAAATCGATAAAAAAATTCAACAAGTAACAACCCACACTAACGTAGTAATACATGACGGGTCGGGTAGCAAGTCCTGTCAGCTTTCAACAAATCATCTCTCATGTCAATTTTTTAAGTTGTATGTTGTACGTGCCAATCTTTAATTGGTCAATTATTTAACTATGACTATGAGATAAGATTGCATATTCTATACATATATTTGCCTTGTCCCACTTTATGTGAATGGAACCCAAAACATTAATAGGGGTTAAAATCTTTAATTTCCTTTTCCATTGAAAGAAGAATTTCCTTAGCCAGTAACTTTATCTTGTGGTCCTGGCTTTATTCTTCATCCTCCAGTGTCATACCAAAGTTTAGCGTTGGATTCCAAATCCTAGGCTGGGCATTAAATTAATCAATGGTCATTTTATCAGTGAAGTGATAATTCATTAACTAACCTTTATTATTCATTAAAACTTTGGTACGTTAATTTTGATGATGCAAAGTTTAATTTATCTATTAATTACTAAATTTAGTTTCAGTACTGGTGTTTTCAAGTTTTAACCATGCCGGATGCTTGTTTTGGTTTTGTTTAAAGCTCTCTAGAAGCTATGTGCAGCATTTATGAAGATCCTATTTTTATTTGGTACTCAAATAAAATTGAAATTATACTTTTTATTTAAATAAATCAGCATTTATATGAATATCAATCTTTTTTTTTTTTTTTTTTCTGTTGAGAGTATTTATATGTGAAGGATTAGTGTTATTACATGTGTCATTCTATGGCACAAGTCACACGTGTGAATGCCTTGTATATCCATTTGGAAATCAACCATTGGGATGAATGAGGATGGGTGTCAAAGTAAAGTATATAAACTCATGTCCTTCACTAAAACACATTGGAATCTCCTAAATTGTGAGAACAGATTATAATATTTCATTCAGAATCTAATTTCCTCTTCTATATTATAACTTTTAGTTTCGATAGTGTTTTTATTATTCAACAATTTTTCTCTTTTTTTTTTTTTTTTTTTGGCAAAATAATTAAATTATATCATAAAAATATGTAACTTTAAAAAGAATGCTGAATAATATATAAATATGTATATTTTATATACAAGTTAACGACTTTTTCCCACCCAAATAATGACTTAATGACGCTTTCTAATTTACAAATTTTTAAAATACCATTTAACTGCTCAAATTTATATTTCGTTGACGAACAGATAGTAAAATCAGTTTGGGTTGTTGGGCTTTTGAAGAGGGGAGGCCTTTGGTGGTGGAAAGTTGGATTTTGGTAGTTGAAATTGATTAGAATTTGACTTGGAAGCGATGGTTGCGCAAATCTTAATTGCTCAATTGCTGGAGATTGGCGAGGTCGACGGGAGTAGGGTTTGAGGGGTTTTTGTGAGTAATGATCGGGAAATAGGGGTGGAAAAAACCGGTTTACCCATATCTTGAACCGAACCGGTTTTCAGTTTTAAAAAAAAAAATTGAACTGAAACCGATCCAGTTTTGGTTATAAACCGGTTTATAACTGAACCAAAAATTCAATTCGGTTAACGGTTTTAAACCGGTTAATTAAGATGGGCTGCATTTGTTCGGCCCAATTCAGTCAAACCCTCCACTTTGGCCCTTTTTTTTCTAGGTTTTTTTTTTTTTTTTTTTTTAACTTGAATAATTTGAATTTATATAATTTTAATGTACATCAAGTAGTAATAATTTAAAATTACAAATCAAAGATGACAAAAACAAAGACATGATGTAGACTCTGATTTCAAATTATAAAGTACACAAAGACATTTACAAATCAAACATATACAAACTGAAAAATAGTCCTCTACCAACTTAGTTTCCACCCTAAAATTACAAATCAAACACATGATTAAAATAACAAACACATTTCCACAAAATCCAAATCAAACACATGACTAAAATAGCAAACACATTTCCCCAAAACAAACATAACAAACACATTTCCACAAAACAAACCTAAGTACATAACAAGCACATTTCCAAATCAAATAGTGAAATGCAAACTTAGAAGATACACAAACAAAGTTCACAAAACAAATACAAATATAACAAATCCACAAAAAGATTTCAAAAGAGGCCTCCAAGCAAGCAATAACTGTCCAACTCCAAGCACATTCCAATCCATTGTCAAATGTCAATTGTCAAAGCAAAAAAAAGTTCCACAACTTGTTAGCTAGCTTCCATTTAAAATTATTATTTTTTTTTTTTATAAGTTTGTCCAATCAAATCTACGAATTAGTAAATAGAAGAACAAATGAAATTAAATAAAGTCATAGTATATACCTCGTTATTGGAAATTTGGATTGCCCTTCAATCATTTAGTTGAGGATGAGTACTTTCTGTTCTTAAAGATGGAAATTCCTCAAAAAGTTGGATAAACAGATAATTAAATAATTGAAAGTATAATTAACAAATCCAACAAAGACATAATTAAATAATAGAAAGTAAAGCAAAAATTTTGCCCAACTCAATTTTCGTTAACTCATCCAAGGTCTCCTTAATGGCTAATGGTGCATGCATAGTCTGAATCCAATCTTGTGTGCAGAGAAGAGCCTCCACCATTTTCGTAGTAAGGGAGCTACGAAATGGATCCAATACATGACCCCCTATACTAAAAGCCAACTCAGATGCAACAGTTGAAACAGGCATAGCCAATACATCGCATGCCATCAAAGAGAGAACTTGATATTTTGTTGAATTCATCTTCCACCATTTCAAGAGATCAAATGTCTTGTCATTGTCATCTTCAACGTCATCCGCTAAATACTTATCCAACTTTGATTTAGGCTGATTAGCTTGGTTTCCAGCCTTTCGCTTTTAAACTTAACCCTCATGTATTCTTGAGGATCAATATCAGCATCACAATCATCAAGTGTACTTGCACCTGGAGATTGCTGACTTGACTACGTAGTAAGACCTCCAACCACCTTACACAAATTGTAATGGTTAAATAAAAACAGCAAATTTTCTATCACTTTTTTCTTTAACTTGTCAGCTGTAAAAGCATCATAAGACTCACCAATCACCCAATCAACATATTCTAACTTGT